GAGACAGAGAGAGAGAGAGAGAGAGAGAGAGGGAGAGAGAGAGAGAAGGCCTTCTTCAGGAGTGAAAATGCCATAAAGAGCGGCCGGAGAGATAGCTCACAGCAGTTAAGAATGCTGGCTGTTCTTGTAGAAGACCCGGGTTGGAATCCCAGCACCCACATGGCAGCTAACAACTGTCTGTAACTCCAGTCCCTGGGGATCCGACAGCCTCTTCTGACCTCCGTGGGCATTGCACTACATGGGTGCACTTACCTACATGCAGACAATACACTCAAACACATAAAAGAAAAATAATAAATAAATTGTTTTTAAAAGTTAAAAAAATAGAGGACTAATTAACCTTTTGCTTCTATAGTAGTGATTACAGAAGTATTCACCACAGCTTCCAGTAGAATTTGTTGTAGTCCTTGGAGAATGTGCAAGATCAATGATACAGTATCAGGCCAGACACAAGTCAAATATGTACATATATAATCTGTTATTATTCCAAATTTTTCTGAAATTACTTCGTTTTGAGTAATTGTGTGTTGGCCAGCAAGCTTGATGAAAATATATTCTGAGAAAAAGACATACAATTGGGTTGAAAATTATAAATAATAATATCAATGAAGTATTGTCCTAAAAATGGGCACGAAAGATAGTATTGAAGAAGAAAATATAAAACATTCACATAATTAAAATATTTTGAAATTGCATGTGGCAAAGAATGGAAAAATTTTAAAGCTGGGTATTTAGATTCTGGGCATGGCAACACGCTCCTGTAAAAATGGCACTCAGTAAGGTGAAGCAGAAGAATTGTGTTTGAGGCCAGCCTTGGCTGTAAAGTAGATTTTGTCTTAAGAAAACTCAGGGATGTAATAATATGCTATCATTAGTTTATATGGGTGAAAACAAAAATTAAAATTTACACTTCAACAGTGCTCTGTTTAATACTTTTTGAATAGAATGCATTTTGAAAGATATTGATGACATATTTAAATATATTTGGAGAAATTCCCATAAATCATATATTAACCAAAAGTCACAAGTCTGGACAGACTATATGGCTTTTCAATGAAATAGACAGAGAAAAAACACTTCATTTGAAATATAAACATGATTTCAAGTCTCAAGCCTAAATATCTTAGGAATATGTAAGGATTGATTTTAGAAGTTAGAATGTTAGTACAGAAAGATAAAGAATGAGTCAGGTATAGTGGGGGCATTTCTGTAATCTCAGCTAAATGAGAGTCTGTGGCAGAATAATCACAGATTTTAGAGCAGCATAGGAATAATAGCAAATTCAGGCCACTCTGGGGAAATTTATTGGACTTTACCAGTGGTTATCTCTGGTTGGGTAGCATTACAAGTGATGTATTAAAAAATATTTTCATTTGTTTACCAAATTTTTCTCTCACTTTTAAAATTTAAGCACAAGTTGTCCCATAAAAAGAGGAAATGAAAGAGCAAACCTAGGGTAAACCTGCATTTCTACAGGTGCAGTGAAGTGCCAGAATCAAGATTTCTCTTTGTACCTCTTCATTCCTCATTCAGGTGTGTGTGTGTGTGTGTGTGTGTGTGTGTGTGTGTGTGCATCTTTGTACAACTAAAAGTTGAAATAATGATTTTATAAACAAATTCAAGTGAAAATTGATAATACATTCCTCAACCAGATGGGATTATATACAGGATTTTAAAATCTAAAATAAAATGTACATGGAAATATAGTACATAAAGAAGTTTCAGAAGCAAGAGAAAATTCTAAAATATGATCAATTGTGCATTCTTAATCAAATGTAAGAATGTATAAAATGCCTGTCTAGTATTCTGAGGCCTATGTCATAAAAGTCAGTTACATTCTTTCTGTTTGTTTTTGATTATTCATTTATTTCCAAGAGAAAAATTGCTATATTAGGTTGAATATGAAACTGTGTCAATCTTTTGCTCTTGATCATTAGAATATTATCTAAAGGGCTTTGAGAATTAATGCAAACCATACATACATTATCTATACTTTTATTTATTTTTCAGTTCATTATTAGTTTTTTTATTTTTTAAGTTTTTTTGAGAATTTCATACATGGCTATTACTGTATTTATAGCAATTCTACCCCTTCTTCTCCTCGTCTAAATCTTCCAATACCCCCATTCCTTCAAATCCATGACCTCTTTTATAATTGCTGTTGTTAAACATATATGCATTCATATATACATATATGTATGCTTATATAAAACCCACTGAACCCATTTAGTGGCTGCTCTGTGTACATGTGTTTAGTTAGGGCTGGCCACTTGGGACTGGTAACCTATCAGGTGTCTCTTTCCTGGAGAGAAAAACAGATTCTCCCTCTCTCAGTAGCCATTGATTGCTTGTAGCTCTTCACCTAAGGATGGGACCTTATCAAATTTCACCTACCTGCGTTGGCATGCTGACTGGTGTTGTCATTATTCAAGTCTTGTTAGGCAACCATATTGGTGAGCTTTCATGGGTGCAGCATCCCAATCATGTCTAGAAGGCATTATGTGGCAGCAGGTGTCTTCATCCTCTGGCTCTTACAAAGTTTCTGAGGCGTCTTCATCCTCTGGCTCTTACAAAGTTTCTGCCCCCCCTTTCACAATGTTCCCTGACACTAAGGTGTAGGAGTTGCCAGTTGGAGTTAACTTGTGTTCACTTATTCTCTGCATTTTGAACAGTTGTAGATTTCTATAGTAACTTCTGTCTCACTTATATTCTTCAGATGCTATTTTGGAGTTAGTATTGGATATGGACTACGCTTAAGGATGGTCATTGGGCTGACCTAGTATGACATTAAAAAAAACATTTTCTTTATTTTTATTTTCCATGTATAAGTGTATTACCTGAATGTATGTAAATGCACCCATGTTATGCAATGACCACAGAGGACAGAAGAGGGTGTTGGACTCCCCTGGAACTGGAGTTACCAACAATCATCAGCCGCCATGTGCGTTCTGGGAATTGAACTTGATTCCTCTGCAAGAGCAATCAGCGCTCTTAACCGCTGAGACATCTCTACAGTCCCTAGTATAGCATTTCTAACCCCACAGTTTCTCTATTAAGACTCCTCATGCTGTATTTAAAGCTAACACCTCCAAGAAAGACAAAACTACAAATGCCAGTTATAAGTCAGAAATTATTTTTAGCTTTGGCAATGGGCAATGGAATCATATGCTGCATGTGTCATAATTCCTAGACAGACTCATGAGTCTCGATTTGAATGTTGTCTCCCTTTGATAAAATAAGTGATTATTTGTATAAAAGGATTTTAAAGAATTATGAAGTTACAAATTATTATATTAGATTAAGGTATTTACAAATATATTTTATGCTCTTGTCAAACATTCCTTACTATTTAAAATTGCTTTAATAGCCAAGATCTACTGAATTTCCTGTATTAAATGGTATTTCTATAATAAAATAATAAGATGTTGAAAGGTTGAAAACTTTGATATTAAATGTCATTTATTCTGTAATTTTAGATAATTTTCTGAATTTATGTTCTTAAACTATCATTAAGTATCAAATTATGGTGAATATGAAAAAGTGTGGCCAAAATAGTACATCATTTTAAATAGTACATTTCAGTCATTTCAATAATCTGAACTTTTACAGCTGAATTATTTTTAATTGTTGAAACTTTTAAGCAAAACAACTAATGTTTAGCAAAATAACAAATAGAGTATATTTAATAAGTTTAAATCTTATTTTTCTTGTAGCATATTTAATTCACTAGTGTAATTACAACAGTGAGAATTTGTGAAAAATTGTTTTCAGAGATGAAAATATTGGTAATAGTGTCAAATGTGAATTCTAAATCACAGCAAACAAATGAAAACAAACAGAACTGAGAGAATATGCAAATACAAAACCTCTAGTGTGTAAAGATTTGCGGTATCTTGAAAGTGGAAGGCTTAAGCAACAGATCATTACAAATTTACTTTTTCTCAAATATTCCCAGAATAAATTTAGTGATGAACTGCTATTGCAATTGATAGCACACTTGAAATATAATAGAGAGTTGAGCTTTACTTTTCTTAGTCAATCTAATTTTACTGGACTAGAACACAAGGAATTTTGCTCAGAGCTTAAAATTGGATTTGGGGACCTAGATTGTCAGAACTGTATTGATGAGCACGGAGCAAGTTAAAGTAAGAGAAGAAACGGGTTTTACAACAAGAGTTTCCAGGGTTTAATAAATCAGTATAGTAAAAGGTACTTACTCTTCTTCTGCTAAAATCTGGTGCTCAGCAGTGATGAGCTGCATGAAGCCACCTCGGTCTGGAAAGATTTCAGCACAGGCTTGCTTTGAGGTGGACAAAAAAAAAAAAAAAAAAACAGGTGGAAAAATTTATCTTGAAAGCTATGCTTTACAAATTGTGTCATTCAGGTTTCTATCTGCTGTTGAATGAAAACGTCACTATTAGGAATTTTTCAAATGATCTGTTTGCGCATGAAACTCAGTACGAATCAGCTTTATATATTTTTTTTTGTTAATGGAGGTTATTTAAAAGTATTCTCAGGATACAAATTATCTTTATCACTCTTCGTGAACATTTTGTGCCTTTATCAGTGATTAAAACTAATATACGTTCCATTTGTGGGGAAAGACATAAGCGCAAGTTTCTGAGAATTTGCCATTTCTTTCTAAACAAACAAAAGTCAGGTAACAAATTAGGTACAAAAAATTGTGGTGATCATTTACAAAAACAAACCATGAAAGCTCCCTGGTATTTCTGTTACTCACTATATACGATATAGATATTACTTTAAGAATTGTATTTCACTTATATTCATTATGTGGAATGCCAAAGAAGGGGGCGGAGGGCGAAGGACGGGGCAAGGCCAGGCCACGGGGCAGTATGTCTGTGTGTGTGTGTGGGGGGGAGGGTTGGTGCGCAAAGCCCAACCCTGAGGTAGGAAAAGGTTGATTTCTTCTTTTCAGGTGTTTACATTTTGAATGAATTTTTAAGTTATTCAAATCTTTTTAACTTTTCAGAATACTGAGAAAATAATTCCTAATTTCTTAAAATGAATTTGCTCTCAACAAACCATTTGAAAACAATTTGTCCTATTGCCAAATGAACAAACTTCGGAAAGAAGAATTTGCAAATATACTACTGAGGAGTCAGGCAAGCTGATTCAAAGCATTTCACAAGGCACCCATTCGAGCAAGTCCTAAGAATAAGAATATGTAGGTTTAAAAAAAAAAGCGAGGGCATTACCAGTTAGTTTTCTTTTAAGCTTTCGAAAAGTTCACATCCACAGAAATCATAACGATACCCTCAAGGCGTGATGCAAAAGCAAAGGGGAAGAAAACCCCAAACAATGATTTCCAAACTATCTCCCCACCCTAAGCCATAAATACTTATCCCTTAGGTGGCCAAATAAATGATGCCCAGCGCAGAGCAATCCTCTTGTGTACATTCTGCAAGGAATAGAAATTTGTCCCCTCAATAAAATAAGCACCTAAGTCACTTACCAGTCAATGTGTAACGAAAAGGAAAAGAAAAAAAGCATTAGACAAAATTAAGCAAGATTTCTGCAAAACGTTCACAGACTCTGGAAGTTCCAAATTCTGTGACTAATTGCATATAGAAAACTGTAGTTGCTGCAAAGTAACTGCATAGATAAGCAGATACAAAAATGCTTCTCCAAACGCGTAATTCTTCACTCAGGTACTTCTCGCTCTGGACGGTGCATTTCAGATAAGAAGAGGTTCAGCAACAGTGACCCACTGAGGATTAAGAAAGATAAAAGACAGGGCTCTAGAAACAGTCACAGATACAAAGCAAGTGAAGCTAAGCAAAGAAAGAGGGAGCAGGCGGGGACCTATGGAGCCGAGCGCCGGACGCGAGGCACCGGAGAGCAGTGCAAGGTCCACGCGGCACCTAAAGGCTGGCGCGGACCGCTCCTTTTATAGGGTCTCAATCGAAATGAGGGCCCAGATGCAAGAGAAACTTTTGGTGTCCTCTCGCCCTCCCCCCACTCCGGATCCCAAACTCAGAAACTCTTCCCTCCAAAAATATCCCCTCACCTCCTTGAGCCGGCCCCAGCAGCCGTGTAACCCTATCCATCAGCATCCCAGCAACAGGCATACTCAGCCCCTGGCCCGCTGGCCCCGCCCCGCCTCGCCCCGCCCCCTTGCCCGGAGCCGCCCCTCCCTCGACGCCGCGTGCTCTTCAGCGCGTCCCATCCGGTCACCGCACTGTCCGGGCACCCTTGGCGCGTACCCGGCCGGCCAGGGCTACTCACGCCCTCTTTGGCGGGGTGGCCAGCCCGCGTCTCCAAGCACGCCGACAGCCGTTGGGGGCAGAAGAAAGGCACAAAGTTAGGAGCTACAGCAGCAGCTGTTCCAAGCCCAAAGACTGGGAGGGGGGGGGGTCGAGAAAGAAAAAGTGACAGGAAAAGAAAAACAAGAGTGGCTGCGGGTCCGCGCCCCCCGCTGTCGCCGCAGCGGGGTCACAGGCCCGCGGCCCCTGGAGGGTACCAACAGACTAGCCAGGCCACTAGGTCAGGGGAAAGGGGGGGGCGCGGGGACTGGCCGTGGCTACTTGACTACCCCCCTCACCGGGTGCTGACAAAGATCCCATTCTTTCCCATTATCCCTGTTGGGTCGTCTCTGCTTTAAGCCCCTGAGCTTTTCCGAAAGCCCCGGACGTCATTTCTGTAGTGTGCAAGCAACCGGTTAGGTCAGGAACAACTGGGGCAGTGGACGGAGCCACTCCTGGATTTCGACATCTAGGGTCTGTAAAGGGCAGAGAAGGACCTCGACCCTGCAGCCTCTGCTTCTGGGCGTTGGGCCGGACAAAGTGAGCCCAAGACAGTGCCAGGCTGGAAGCAAAGGGGCCCCTTGGAAAGGCATTGCCGGCCCCCAAGGAAGGCCCCCCACGCATCAAACTTTGTCTACTTGCTCTTCTGTAGCTCCTTTGGCACTCCTACCTAGTTCTCTTACTGGAGCCCAGGAACTCACTAGTGACCGTGCAGAGGCCCTCCTTTTCTTGGTCAAGGTCTGTCTGTTGAGCGAGGTTCACATTCCCAAATCTAGATAGTTCTGAGCCTACTGAGACTCTGCAGGCAGTCTTTAGCCCTTCCCAGATCTGCCCATACAGCTACCAGTCTGTGCAGCCTCACCCTCTGAAAAGGGGTTAAAACTCATCGATGGACATCAAAGGACACTGACTCAGTGCCGTCCCCCCCCCCCACCCCGGCTCGGGAATAGAGAGCCACTGCTCAGAGTTCTTTCATATGAGGGCCGTTTACCTCTTTGTATACTAGGCTATTCACTCATTTGCGCAATCGTGGGACCGGCCAACCTTTTCTTCCGTTCTCTTGAGATTAGCACTCCCAATTTGCAAACCTATCTCCTTGGCCGTTTTATTGTGTGGATTCTGTTTCGTAAGGGTCTGCGGCAGCTGCGGCCCCAAAGTGAAAGGGTCCAGAAGAGGAAATTGCTGAATCATAGGATTGGACACAAGTGTTCTCTAACAAAAGGATTTTGTGAGGGGAAAGGGCAGGGGCATTTATAAAATACTATAACTCACAATGAACGGTGTGGCCAGGCTCCCTCTTCTTTGCCAACCTCCATCCCCCATCCCCATCGCCTCCAATAAGAGGATTTGAAATTTTCCCTTGCCTGGCTAGGGCCTGAGTAAACAAACTGTCCTTAAGAGTTGTAGAGATGCTAATGTTTGACAGGAGACAAGTGCCAGGAGCCAGGTTTGGGGAATGGTGATTCTCAGAGGGGATCTCCAACAATTCAGTTCAATTCAATTCAGATGGCTTTCTTTTTTCTTTTCTTTTCTTTTCATTTCGTTTTTTTACACAGCTTCCTGCTGCGCGCATCAGACAGAAAGGGATACATTCCCTTCTGCCTAAACTGAGGCAGTCTGGGAGACTGAGAGGAGAGAGAGAGAGAGAGAGAGAGAGAGAGAGAGAGAGAGAGAGAGAGAGAGAGAGAGAGAGAGAGAGAGAAAACTGAAGACACCAAACAAAGGAAGACAGCTCTGTGGAATGAACTGGGCACTACTTGTCTCAAACAGATCAAGGTAAGACCAGTGGAAAAAGAGACTTTAGGCACAACACAGAACAAAGTGACCTCACAGAGAGCTGGGCTCGACCTGCAAATTGAAAACGGGAAGCCAGCAGGGAAGTCAGGGGAACTTGGAGATATAAACTCCTGTAAGAACCAATCTATATGATCCAGAGAGAGCCTAAGGGTCTGGAAGAAGACTGAGAAGGCCAACAATTCAAAAGAAATGACAAGATGCATTTGTAAGGATAGAATATGTGCATTACTGAACCATCCAAATATCTCACTGAAGCAGGTAGTGAAGGTCAATGAGAAGGAGCTTGTTCTTTAGTGCCAAGGTTGGTCTCCCGGTTGCCAGCCTTGGGCTGTCCTCCACCTTCGCATTCAAAGAGTATGGGCCACAGAAGCTGACATTTCAGTTTGCAGCACTGTGGTTTGCCCAGTTTAGGACATGTTTTAGGATGGAGATGGGCTGACGCTCTTGAAAGAAAGTCTTTTGAGGGGCCAGGGTCATGACTTACTAAGATTTCTATCCCTTTCAGGATCTCCTGTTCCAAATGACACAAGAAATAGTAAGATCAAGCAAGGGAGTGGCTCCCTGGGTGCTGTTTTTGTCACTGAAGGTATGTTTGTATGTGATCTTAGACAAAGTTTCTTTGCAGAGACAGTTGAAAGTGCATGCAGAGGCAGATAACTTATTTACCAGGCAAATGACAATGCATGGGGATTTACCACTAAAGGAATGCAGTCTAGTTCTGGACAATCATGAAACAGAGAATTTTAAAAAGTGGTATGGAGAGATCGTATACTGAAAATACCCTTGGCAAGGCTTAGTGGCCAAGTTGAGCATGAGTAACTCAATAGCCAAGAACTCTTAGAGGCCAGCAGTACTCGATCCTAGCAAATTGTGACATCCTACAAATAGATGCACATGCCTCCCTTTAATAGGACTTGGGTTGGGCTTTTGGAAATGTAAACCTTATTCCAAACAATTTTATAAACAGCAACCTTACCAAAAGGAAATGTATGGTAAATGAGGGTTAAAATCTCTCTACAGTCATGTATTAAACTACAAAATGAAAAACAAATTAATTCTTGGGTGTAAATCTGCATCAAAAGCACAAATAAGCATTGCTTAGCATTTCTAACAACTTTTTGCTATTGCTGTTTTGAGACAGGTTCTCATACTGTAACCCAGTTTGGCTCGGAACTCACTATGTAGCCCAGGCTGGCATTGAACTCTCCATAATACTTCTGCCTCAGCCTCTAGGGTGTTGGGATCACAGTTATAAACTACCATGCTAGATTTTCAACAAATTATTTCAAGATTCCTATTGCAGCAGTGTGGTTACTACTGGGGCTGGAGAATTGGCTCAGCAGTTAAGAGCACTGGCTACTTTTGCAGAGGATCTGGGTTTGATTCCCAGCACCCACATGATGGCTAACAACTATCCTTACCTCCAGTTCCAGGGGATCTGACACCTTCTTCTGACTCCACAGGCATTGCATGACACGGGTGTGCTCACATACATGCAGGCAACACATTCTTACACATAAAGTAAATAAAATGTTTTAAAGGAATTACTCATATTGGTATTACCTGAATTTTTCTAAAATAAATAATATATTGAGAATTTCATACATGCATATAAGGTGTTTTGATCAAATCCATGCCCACTCCCTCCCTTCCAATTCCTCCCATGTCACCCCATCACTTTTTTTTTGATAACTTCATGTTCTTTTTCTTCTTTATTTTTTTATGTGGCTTTTGGCTGCTCTAACATTGCCCCCCTCTGAAGAGGTAACCCTAAAAGTCTTTTAAGGATTAGATAAAAGCTCCCAAATATTTTTGACATTTTTGACCTTTGGAAAGGAGTATGTTGCTAAGAGGCCCAAGGACATTGTGAGTTTTAGCCAAGAAACTGGCTATTTTTCTTTGGGGTCTTTTTATCCTAACTGCCTAGGCAATTCTTACCTCCTATTCTTATTACACCATCCTCTGAAGAGGTTACCCAAATTGCCAATAGGGAATTAGGACGCAGACTGCCCTGGCTTCTTCCATGCTGAACAGGAACGCAGGGTAAGGCAATTGGAGTACCCCTTCAGTGGGTCTATCTAAAAGACTCCCAAATTGCATAACTCCTATCTCTAGGGGGAAAAGAAAGTCCTTGAATCGTGAGTAGGAGATGTGAACGGGAAGTAAAGGCAACAATAATTAGCATTACAAGTTCTAGACCTGGAACTAGAAGGAAGGTCAGAACAGGGAAATTTTTAAATGTTCATATGAAAGTCCATTGGAATTTCTTGACGAGGGCTTCCAAAAGCATCTCTCTATTGTGTTCCTCCTCATTTTTCTTTTGTCTTCTAAGGCTGAACTCTAGAGTGATGGATTCAGGATTTGCTTTCAGGTATTTTGATAGCATAGCTGTTGGAGTGGTTAGAATCAGTGTCAGTTCCCTCTCAAAGGCTTCTAGACAGCGGGAGAAAACAAATTTATCCATCATTTTAGAACAATAGCTGGTTGTCTCCCTTAGCTACAGGTGGGCACTACAGTATTGGAGATCAAGATTTGAAGTCTTACATCTGACCAGCACTTTCTGGTTAGGAACAAAATCATCAATGAGAAATAATTGAATAACTTTTTATACGGACTTAAGTCTAATGTCTGGGAAGTGTAAACCCTTGAACTCTTAAAGAAATGATGACTTTATTCTTTGGTTATGCTTTCCTTTAGGTGTTTAAGACCATACAGTTGGCCCAGATAAATTAATTTATTTTCACACTTAAGGTCGTTTGAGGATCTGTTCCTCAGGGGTCACATGGGCTTGGGAGGAGCTCTTAGCTCTTTCTTTCTTTCTTTTACCAGTTCCATCTATGTGAAGATAAGTCAAAGGTCCTGCTTACCCATGTCTGGCTTCACTTGGAAGCATGAATGAGATGTTTCCTCTGATTGACCCTCCTCTTTGTAGACTGTACACTGGTTCAAGCCCATCTTGTGGGGGTCTCAATGTCCTCCCTGAACAAGAGGACAGGTGACTCACCACAGTTACCGGACATTTTGAGAGATGTTCCATAGTCCCCTG